GATTGAATTGGTTTTATTACTTTATTATATTTAATTTAATTTATTTAATTAGTTTCCGTTTATCTTATGTGATATTTGTAGAAATTAGTTTTTATAATAATTAGATTATATTAGTTTTTACTAAAGAATTTGACATTATTGTTGTATTAAAAATAGATTTTAGTTTAAATTTATTTTTATAGAAAAAAATAATTTTTTAATTAAATTTTTTAAAAATGCTATAATAAAATATTCATAATAAGTTTTTCTATTATTTAGATTTAAGTTTTCAATGTATCAATACTTTTAATTTAAAATTTATTAATATATTTAGCCATTTTAAATTAAATGACTTTTAATACACAATTAAACAATTAATGAATCATTAAAACAGATACGAACTGTAAATCAATGAAATTAAGGAAATATCTTAAAATCATTTCCTCATTAGACTACCAACTGATGATTTATTTTGAATATCTAGTAAACCATATTTTAAATATAAAAATTGCTAAATGGCAAAGTCATAGACAATTTTATAATGAATATATTTAGCATAAATATGCCAAAAAAATGGTCATTTTTTATTTAATTGTATTATTGACCAGATATTTGCACCCGACTTATTTTAAGGGGTGCAATTATTTGGTTAACATTAAAATTAAATAAAAATAATCAAATACAAAATTATACTGTAGTGTCTATGACTTTGTCATTAATCATTTAAATTATTTAAAATATGGTTTACTAGATATTCAAATAAATCACTATTTGTGAGTCTAATGCGACAATCATATTAAGATAGCCTGAAATTAAAGATGTCAATAAATTTTAATAAATTATAGAATATATATATTTTTAAATCTAGAAGTTTTATAAAATGAATTAGAAATTTTTATTTGTTTATTGAAAATATTGGATTTTAGAGTTTCCTGTTTTATCTTTTTATTTTTTTAATTATTTACTTTATATTTACCCCTCAGGTGTTTAAACCTCAACCCTCCCAATAAATGATGCAATCAGTAATCTTATATATATATATATATATTTAACTTATTGTATATTTATGAATAGTATATATTTGTTTATAAGCTTAAGTATAATAAATTAACTTAAAAATTTACATTCTATGTTAGTTAATATGTTATATTTTAAAATGTAATATAGTATTATAATATATTAAAATTTTGTAATAAGTGTATTTATTTTTAAAAATCCAATTTATTATTTTTTGTATTATAACTTATAAGATTAAAAAATAGATATTTTATATAATGCTAAAACGTCAACATTTGATAAATGATGAGCTGTACTAAAATTAAGAAATATTTTTATATATTAAATGTAAATATATATTTAGCTGAAATATTAGGCAACAGTTTTATTAAACAATAGTTTAACGTGTTTTTTGTTTATATTTAGAAATATTAATACTAAATAGTAAGCTTGTTTTGTTACGCATATTAATAAAAAACAATTTGCTTTAATTTAATAATCTAATATAAATATAAAATAAAATAGAATTAATGTATTGAATATATACATTATTATTTAGTTGTATTTTTTACTGATAAATTTTAAAAACTCAATTTAAACAAACAAACATAATATTAAGTAATAATAAATAAATTCAAAAGTAGAAATAATATCAAATATAATTAAATATAATTAAATAACTATGTTTAGTTAAAATATATTTTAACTTATAATAGAGAGATATATATAGAGAAGCTTAAATATATACAGTTTAGTATAGTTATAACTACAAAGTAACTTTGTATTGTTTTGGTGATACTGGAAGCGCTTAAGTGATGTATAGACCATCACAATGTAATTATATCTAAGATTGTTTTTTTACTTTTCAATATTTTTTAGAAAATTAAATTAGAAAATTTGTATTATTTTAATTTACTATTATTTCATTATTCAATTTCTAATTATACAATAATGTCATTTAATTGCCTTCATTTATACTATTATTTAATTTAAATGACAAATATTATAAATGTCTTATTTTAATAAAATTTTATATTCATTTTTATTTACTAATATAAATTAAGAATTTTATTTTTATTAATTTTATCTTTTTTCTAAAGTTTTTTTTTCTAAATATAGTTAAATATTTGTCATATAATATTTAAACATTTAAATATATCATTTAACTAAAATTAAAATTGCATTAAATTGCTATAAATTCTTTAGAGAATAATATAAATATTTTGAATTCTTTTAGGTTTTATGAGTTTAAAGACTATTTCAACTATATTTAGTTACACTTTTCTAAAGTTTAAAATAAAATCAATGATATTTCTATTTTAGTTAATTATAATAACACAAACTATATTTAAACATTATTTAATAATTTATTTTAATATTTATAATCAAATTTTAATAAAATTAAATAACAGTGTATTAAATAAAACATTAGTAAACAATATACATGTTTAATTTAATATAAACTATATTTAAAAATACATTATTTAATATTTTTAAATAATAAAAATGCTAAAAATATCAATACTCACCAAAAAGCAATAAATTGTTGCTCGAAATGTTTTATCCATTTGATTAAATTTAAAATCAATTGTATGATTTGACTTAATATTTCATATTTCATTTATAATTAATTCAATTGAACTATAATAACTCATTTATTTATTTATTGAAATCTGTTAAAACTTCAATTATGTTAACAAAATTAAAGCTTATATTAATGAATAAAGTAACAAAAAAAGTTGTGTTAATGATATAATATACTGTTAATGTTAAAGCAGTTGAAAGCTGTCTATAGTTATATTGGGACTGATCTTATCAAATGCCTTATGTCTGACACCAATACTATTATCTAATGGTAACAACAACTTCACATGTGCTGAGTCTCTCAGTCTCGCAATATCTTTGGTATGACTCCCACAGCAAAAGGTTGAAAAAAGGGAAAAAAGACGAAGAGATGACATGAAATTCATTGAGGAATTGCTTTCTCATATCATTTGATATATTTTGATTGCATTAGTCATTAGCATAAGTGTTAGCATTTGCAATGACTTAATAATGACTGATCAAATCAATTACTTTGTGTTAAACTTTGCAAACAAAATCATTATTTAATTGACATATTGACATAACATTTTAATTTAAATAAATTTTTATATAATGTTGTTATACTTTTATTAGAATTTTTAGAATTCATAAAAAATGAATAAAAATATTCAATTTTATACAATAATAATATTTACTTAAACATTAAAGAAAGTAGATTGTTTAAGTTAGATTATGTAATTATTATATATATATATATTTTTATTATAATAAAATCTAATAGAAGTACATTTTGTTACAGTTATCTATTGTATTGATTGTAATAATGAAAAAATGATATATTGTTAGTATTATTATTATGAGAGATCATATCTAGTTTATACAGGATATATAATCATATTTTTATAAACAAATGTTTTGTTACATAAGTGGATATAATTTGATAATATATATAGATTTGTTAATTTTTCTGTTTGATTATATAAATATATATTATCTGAAATTTATTTTTTTATATAAATTTCTTATAGAAAAAATATTTCTTATTTTAATTATATGTTATCTCTTTTTATTTATATATAATGATTCCTATATAAGATCTAATTCAGCGCTTAATTACACTTTATTTTCAGTGAGTGAACACATAGTGTAGACGTCATTATCTTTTATAACATTATGATATACAGTGTCTGACGTAATAAAACAAAGTCACGAGTTTTGCAAATAATATTAAACTCATATTTTGTATTGTTTTAATTTTTTCTTTATTAATAAATATCAATCATGTATTCAATAAAATAAAATTATTTTGAATATTATTTTTGAAATGAGATTAAAATTGTGTGAAAATGATTTGTATGATAAACTGTAAGCATTGTATAGTTACTTAAAAAACACTTCACTGCAATACAATGTAATTGCAGTGATTTCATAGAAATTACAATTAGTTTTATGTAATAATATTAATAGTTCTCTATTACTATTAATATTCAAATGGGACACAGAATCCAATTGATTTAATCAAATTAAATAAGTTATCAAATTATAACTATTTACCCAATTGATGTTAAATTAAATTTGAATTATTTAAAAATGGATTATAAATATTAGTTTGTCAAATAGTACAAATATGAATGATAGCAAAATATAATTTAGTTTATAATTTCAAGTATTGATTGATTGCTTTAAGCTTTTACTTGATTTAATGAATAGTGAGAAAAATATTGGTTTATTTTTAGCTTTAGGTCAATAATGTTAATAATGATCGCTAAATGTTTTTTCTGACACTTACACTTTTGGCCACAACGTTGACATCAAATATATTTAACTCATTATATTATAATATACACAACTGTTGATAAACTGGTAGGTGTTTAACATTTATTTGATGCTAAAATAATGCAAATATATACACTCAAGAAATTTATCATTGGATATTTCATATATGTGTAAGTATGTTATAATTTAATAATTTTGTATATTTTCCTAAAAATTATTAACTATATATTTATTTTTTGATAACAATATTTAGATATTTTTATCATTACTAAATAAAAAATATAATTAATTAGACAAATTTATTACAATTTACAGATTTTTTAAATAAAACTATTAAATAAGTTAATATAATAATTTGTTATAGTTTATATAAATAAATTAACATAATTATTTTACTGAATTTAGTTACAACAATTATTTATCAAGTTTAATAACTTGTCAAAATTTTATAATTAATTTTTGTATATCGTTCTAAATGTAATTTGATTTTTATAAAAAAAATTTTTAAAAAGTTTTAAAAATCTTGTTTTTGTTATGATTACTATATTTAGAAGCATTTAGTATATAATTTAAATATATTTTTAAAAAATTATTTGTGGTTTTATAAACTTGAAATTACAGAATGGCTTACAATGAAAATTACAACTAAATTAAGTATTAAATTATATTGTAATATATTATCATTTGAAAGACTTGAAAAATGATCAACACTTAAACATATCACATAACAACTTCTCCATAGGAGTGCCTAAAAATAACAACAAAATTGATGATAATTTAGACCAAATTATAAGATAAAACAAAATAGCATTACTTCCTATAGTCCTTTGGAAATAAATGTCTGCTATTCTATCGGCAGAAATGATTCGCAACGACAACAATGATAACAATAATTTCCCGAATCTATTAGATTTTAATCATAATTAATTGCATTATTAATACTGAAATTTAAATATATAAGATATAATAAAAGATGAATACCTGGTAGGGTTGGTTGGGTGATGTGTTTTGATGTGTTGTAATAGCATGATCTGACCCTGGTCCTGCATGTGCTCAATACGCGATACATCTTTTAGACCTCTGGCCTCTAAATTTAAAAAATAATATATAAAGTAATTATTTGAAAATTACTAATTAGTATAATATATAAATAATTGATAAAATACGAGACCTGGTTTAAAAAGAGCCAATGCCTTCAAACAGGCGAATTCAGCCGCATCTACAGCAGTTCCTCGGTATCTATTCAATGAATCGTTTAATACTCTGATATCAGAGGAATGATTGGCGCCATCGGGAATGTTGGCCACAGAAAACAAGGGATTCTTATCTAAAGGTAAACACCATTGAATGGCACTCAACAAAAATATCTCAGCCCACGACTCCTCCAATAAAATAATCTTAAATCAAGAAAAATTAGTTATAGTAAAATGATTTAAATAATTCAATGTTTACCTGATCTCTAAATGTTAAATTGGCAAAAGAGGGCAGATTTTTGGCCCATTTGACGGCCATAAATAATAGTCGCGCCGATGTCTCGTAAATGGATTCTGAATGGCACTGAACCATAGCATTGAATGCCTGGTCAGCACCCGATGTGTAGCTCAAAGCCGATAGTGAACCGACGGGATTGAGGTTCACATAATAATTGCCACTATTGTTGTAATCAAAATGTGAATTGACCCGGGCTCTTTCTAGTTAATACATTTTACATTATTATTTCATTACTATTATTAAATATATAAAATCTTTATTAATACTATTTTACTAAATATGACACAAATTTTAAAATAAACGATATTTTACGTTAGTTTAAAAATATTTTTGTTATTTAAATTATAAAATATTTTTACTTTATTGCTTCAAAAAGTTAATCATTTATTTATGAATCAACTCTTATAKATATAAGGCATAGACTGACGATATGTTTCATAATATAATATAACTCTATATTTATGTGTTATTCGACTGTTAAATATTTATATATTCACATTAATTAAAGATTAAATTGAAATTAAATAAAAATTATTAAAAATAAAATTAGTTTTAATATTTTAATTAATTAATTTTACTTTATTTAAAATAAATTCAATACCTTTATTATTGTCGTCTATGTTATCATCATTTTTATTTATAGTATTTCTTACATCAGATGCTAACTTATTTTGTGCGGTAAATCCAATATTATGACACCGATTGTTGGGAAGAGACCGAACTCCCATTCCTTATTAAAAAATAAAACAATTCTTAAATTTAAATTAAAATTAAATTAATTGACTTTTTTAGTTAGTTTAGTTTATTTCTAATAGCTTATTGAAGTGATTTTTACTGTTTAAAATAAAATAAATAAATTATATATAATCGTTAAATTGCAAAATACAATATATAATTTTTATTTTTTATATAATTTATTATTTAGTTATAAATAAGATACAAGTGCTGACATACCGGTGCCGGAGGCGAAAACAGCGGCCACAGTGGCTGCCACTCCATCTCTTAACAAACGTTCGCTTTCACTATCGTTGAGCAGACTCTCAGGTCTTATAGTAGCTTAACATTGATTTATCAGTTCATTAATTATATTAACTTTTTTAAGTTATAAATTATAGCTAAAGTTTATATATAATGAATGTATATTAAAAATTTAATTACTTATTTTATTTTATTAAATTAAAATATTTATTATTAGTTATTTTAACTAAATAAGGTTACTGTTTAAATAATAAAACATTAATTAATAATTTAGTTAAATTAAAATATTAACCATTAATTTACTATTTTAACTTAAAAAACATTTTCTATAATTAAAATTTTATTTTCATTAAATTATAATTTAGTTTAGTTATAGTAAAATAATTCATAAACTAAAGAAAAATTGTAGCAATTTAAAAAAAAAAAAAGATTTTTTGCAATAATGATAACTAACTAATCAATTAATATATTATTCATACAGTAATACTCACTCACTTTTACTTTATATTAAATTTATAATATTAAAATTAAGTAATGTATACATTTTGTATTAGTATTCACAATTTGTTTCGAAATATTAACTAATAATTTAATGATTTCTTTGTAAAATTCAAACTATTACTAAAAGTATAAATGTCTCAAATTATTGATTTTACTATCAATCAGTATTTTTATGCGAGATTCAAATGTGAGATAATTGTATTTTCTATCTATGACTCTATGAAAGATTTTTTATGATATAATATATCAATTTTATCTCTATAATTGGTAAAATTGACATTATCATTAATAAAAGATAATTAATATTAAGTTAATCATTTAAAAATTTTACTATTAGTACTAATTCAGTAGTATATTAAAATATTTATAAATATAATTCAATTTAAACAAATCATTTTTATCAACATATTTACTCTTATTTAAAGAGTTTGCAATAAAAATTAAATATTTATTATTACTAAATATATAATACTGTAATTTATATTTATATAACACTAATTTGTAAGCTTAATAAAAATATTATAAAACGTGTTTGAAATAATTAATTAATTAATACCTGTATTACGGGGTTGTCGTTCATTTTGAACAGCTATTTGTGTAAAATAATAATTTTAAAAAATATATTAATAAGCAATTGATTGTTTAAATTGCAAGATTTAATTTAATTTAAAATTCTCACCGTCTTTATTCATACCCTTAATTGTAAGCATTGTATAAAAATTTTTAAATAAAAATATTTTGTTGAAATGTTTATTTGTCATATACAGTATATACATATAATATAATACAGATTACAGGTATATGTATATATTAAAATTAATAAGACATACCATTGTTAAGCATTTTTTAAGTCTACACGATTGACACTGATTTCTATGCTGTTTGTCTATAACACAGCCACCAGTGCCCGCTTGACATCTATTTTAGTAAATAAATTTGAATATATTTTTAATTATATACAGTATATATATATATATATGATATTTAAATTATTGAAAATCTTATAAATAATTTTATGAATAATATATTATATTTTATTAATAACAACAACCTATAGATAAGTTTTCTGCGAACACTTCTCTTGAAGAAACCACTGCAACCATTGCAGGCGAGTATACCATAATGTTTGCCACTGGATGTGTCACCACAAACAACACACATGAGTCCAGGAGATGGTCTTTTAATAGAGTTTTTTATAATTTGATTGTTTTGAATCAAATTATTTGAATTTGATTGGTTTGAAATCGATGAACAATGGTTTGGTGTGATTTGTGAAGTATATGAAACCGATTCGTGGGAAGAATTAGTTACCGATAGATTTAGTGGTCGGCCTTGAGTTATGGTGTTTGTTATAATTGGTTTAAATAGGTTTGGGCTCAGAAATAGAGGAGAATTGGCCAGTGATGGGAAAGGTGCTGATGAACAACCATTTAATGTAAAAGAGATATTCGTATCAAAAATATTTTGTCGTTTGATAGGCAGTCCATCGATACGATTGAGTAAATCAGTTTGAGATGGACTTTGAGGAGAAATTGCTTTTTCCGGCTTAAAGTCAGGTCTAGATTCTGAATCGCTGCCATCACTACACGATTGAGAGTCTAAATCATAAGTATTATATAAGAAATTGTCACAAATATTGTATAAATTCATTGATACTAACTATAGATTCGTTCAGTCAGTTAGTGTATGTGTTATATAGTGTTTTGTGTCTAATGTATAGCAATTTAAGTAATCCATTGATGCGAGTCATCTCTCCATAGATATAATACTATGAACTAAGCATTGAATCGTTAGACTGAATGTGTTTTATCATAATAGCAAAGATGTGTGTCTTTTATGGGCTATAACTATATAACTATAACCCAACAGACAAATTGAAAGAGGATTAGATAGCAGTCATTCCGACTTTATATCAAATCTAATACATGCCTTCTTTATGCCTGATATGTCTGTGCCATAGTTATAGCTATATATATACCAACTATTATAGTATGCATATATACATATATATATATATATATATATATATATCTTTTATATTGATTGTGCGATTTGTGAGATTGTGACACAGCTAGTGATGCTACCGATGCTGTGATGGACTCTTTTAAGCCGATTACACCAAAACGCATCACTTTAATTGATTTCTATAGACTAACATTTAGACCTATAATACACAGCATTATTATAACTACCAGTTCTCTACTCTACTCTATCAAATGAAATGCAAAAATCTATTCAAACATTAGTGGTTTGCGATCCAACAAACCCCAGAAACTCGACAATCAAATGATGCAAACAATAAATGAATTGCTACTATTGGCACCTGATATTGATATTGATATATCAATGATAATCACCGATTATCTAATGTTTGAATTAAGCCGTGATGTGAATAAATATCATAAAAGCATTTAAACCCAAAACTAATCTAAAAGTCGGATTTAAGCTTAAAAATTATCGTAATTGAGTCACATTTGCAAACACTGATTATATTGTTTTGTATAAAATACTCTACATTACGCTTATTAAAAGTTTTTAATGTAATGTTTTTATTAAAAGTTGAAATTATCAAAATGTTTTATTTATAATAGTTTAAGCAAATAGTCTTTTAGATAACAATTGTGTATAATTTAAATTGATTTATAAAGATTAGATTTAAATAACTAATATTTTTAAGTGTATTATTTTATTTACAATTAGATCACTAGTAACAAATTTAGTTATATATTTTTAAAGATTTATATTTTATTAAGTTAATGAAAATTTTTATTAGTAAATTACTAATAAAAATATATACATTGAATAACTACTGTAAAAATTAAAAGTTAATATAATAAATTATTTTATGCAAATTTATTTAATAAGTTAATTAAATCATTTGTTATATATTTATTTTAAAAATTTATTTAATATAAATATATATTCTCAATATAATTTCACTATTTTTAACATCTATAAAATAAAAAATACATTTTAACTTGATTGTATAAATAACTAACAGTTAAATATTTAAATATAAAAACTAGCTAAAATAATTTTATAACTTACACATACATATATATTTTAATTAAAATACATTATAGTTTAATGTAAATAAAAAATAAGTTAAAATATTTAAATAATTACCGCTTTGTTTGTCTTCAAAAGATTCATTTTTGTGAATTTTTCTGCCATTAGTTTCCATATTAAAGGTCACAACAAATATATTTAAATACAATTGTAAAATGAATGCAATGTTATCTAAAGTTATATCAAATCAGATATAAAGTCAGTTATGGTCCTAATCTTAGGCCTGGAGTGGGAATGTTGTGATTGTGTATCACATGAATGGTATAATGCAATGAATGCCACTCCTTATGGACCGCCTTTGAGAGCTTTAGTTTAGTATTTTTGGTGACATGACTTTGGATGACTCCGTCTTCTCGAGTCAATCGATAAATTCATCCAATAGTGACTATAATTTGGAGAAACACAGCCAACATCACTACCGGAGCACTACTGTAAGCAAAAGCCTATATTTATACTTATTTTTCTTAATATTTTTATTTTTATTCAAATATAAAGTTGAATCACAAAAATCAAATATAGAGTCAAAATAAGTTGTTGTGCTTACCATTCATTACAATTGACTTCATTTCAATGCTTTTCAATAATCTATTCATTCACTTATTTAAGCACAAAATCAATTGATTTCAATATACTATATAATAACTTGTTTGCATATTTTTTTATCTTATATCTCAAAAATAGACTTTATATTAGTTTACTAAAAAATAAATTTTTATGTATATAAATTAAAATTAAATCTATTTTAAGATTAAAAAAATAAAGTTTAAATGTTTAAAACAATTTTTTAATAACTTGTTACATTAATTATATACTGTATAGTATACATTTGATATGAGAAAATTAATATATAATCAAAATGCGCATATTTTTTAAATATTAATATAAACAATTTTTGATAATTTAAATGACAATAATATTTTCAACATTGAAACAAAATAACAATAAGATTAGTGATACAAATATGAACTAACTGTGAATACATGCTGTGAGATATCATTGGATATGATTTGTTGAATATAATACACAGTAAGACTTGTATTTTGAAATTTTCTGAATTTGACACTTAAATCGACATTCGCTCTCATAGCTGATGCTTCTCTCTCTCTCTCTCTCTCTCTCTCTCTCTCTCTCTCTTTCTCTCTCTCTCTGCTCCGTATGTGTTGTCTGTGTCACTGATGTTGCCATTTGTATGTAAAGTATATGATAATACAATAATAGACAAGTGTTGGTGTAGTTGTGTATCAGTCATACATGTAGTACTGTATAAATTTGGGGATAAAATGAGTGTTGCATTTGTATAGCATTTGGGTTCAGGTCTGGTATTGTGCTATATATGACTATACTTTATGACTAGTAATCGGGCCTTAAATCCAAAAGGATTTTTGCTGCAAAACAACACCTGAGTCTCAAACTGGTGTCAAAACGCAAGCTATGATCATATGAGACAAACATACTATCAAAGAGTCATCACTGAAATTACATGAAATGACTTGAAATGGATGAGAGTCTGACAGAGAGTCACATTTGCATTGAAAACGTCTATAAAGGCATAAACTGTCGTTCAATGCATTAAAGTATTACAGGGATTGCCTTCTTATGCCTTCATTGAATGCAATATCTCTATACTATATATGCAAAGAGTCGTGCATTAAATACAAATGCTTTCAATCAAAATGTTTTAAATCTAAACTTTTGGCCGATTATTATAAATTCAATTGATTTCATTTGGAGAGAAGTTTTATGACTAAATAGAGACCATTTGATAGCAAAATAGGAAACATTAAAACAGAGCTTTAAATGAATTGCTGGCCATAGAGTCAAGTATGTTATGGATTGGTATTGGCTTTAGGCTCAGGGATTGTCAGTGGGATGAAGTGCTTCCAACTGATAGGTCTTCTCTTTAATCATCGTCAGCGTCATAGTTGAGTGTCAAAAGAGACCAATTTGTCTCTCAAGGCATGACTTGGTTGACAATATGTGACATACATTCACAGCAAATACAAACTCATAAATAATGGTCACATCCGTAGCAACCAAAGCATCTAAAGAAACAAAAAGTGAATACTTTTGCAGCTTTTCTTCAAAATCAATGTATGAGTTATGTGTTATGTATTGTGTTATATACTATATATTAAAATGACAATTGAGTTGAAGTCACTGTTTTGTGTTATGCTTTCAATCAATTAAAGGTATTCAAAGGCAATGGCAAACACAACATAAACTTTTATTATATATAACTCTCGTCACTCTCTAATCAATTGAATTAAACGAAAACGTGATTATCTGATCACTTGATAATAACACTACACTATAGTCAACGCATTCAACACTCATTTAACAACTCTAACACCAAAAGCACGATTCACTTCATCCTAATCGTAGGTCTTTCCCTATATTTCCTTCTCTCACTCCTCTCTCTCTCTCTCTCTCTCTCTCTCTCTCTCTCTCTCTCTCACACACACACACATATATATATATATATATATAAATTTACACATACCCTTCTCATAAACGCATTGACACAAAACATCAAATCAAATCGTAACTTAAATAACTTAACAAAACTAAATGCATTTCAAATCAAACGTAAATATATTGTTATAATTGATTGATTGAGTGATTCAGTCCTCCTATTGTATATATATATATAAACTGTTTTATGTCAACAATTCAATGCAATTTGACATCAATTCAATTGTTTCTTAACTGAATCGCCCAAATGAGACCCTAAAAGCATTGTTCACAATATTGTTAACTCTGTTATCATTTTTGCTCATTAAAACATTATTTATAATTTAATTGTTTTCTTACTTTATTGCAAATATAATTTATTAAATTAAATTAATCAGAACCTCTCTAAGTCTTGATTTAAAATAAATAATAAATATTGATATTTACTAATTTATTTTAATTTAAAATAATACTCAAAATCACAAATATTTAAAATCAATTTTCAATTTGGCATTTAATAAATAATTATATGAATTAAATATCGGATTAGAGATTAATGATATTAATGCCACATCGATAAAAATGACCAGTGTTATTTTAAACAAATTTTTAGAAAAATCAATTTACACATCTTTACACTTATCTTTCAAATTGTTTTATTGTTTCATCTTTTTATTATATAATTAACAATTTGAATTTATTATCAAATATTAATATATACTTTGTATTAATATTTAATAATACAATAATATATAATAATAAGAAATTATCAACAAAAATCAAATTTATTAGTTTATATTTTATTCAATTTATTGACTAAATATAAAAATTACAAGAAATAATATATTTTAAAAATGAATATAACGTTAATAAATAAACATTTATATATATATATATATATTTGATTAGATTTAGGGTTACTTTATATACTTATACCAAAGCACTGACAAATGAGACAATAAAATTGCACATTAAATGTAATTATTATTATTAATGGAATTAGGGATTTGAGTTATTTGGTATTTAACACATACATGTATGGTATTTAATATTATTAACTCATATAAATTAGTGTTCAAATTGTTAGATAAATAAAAAAATTGGCAATTATTTAAATGTGTAGTTTGACCATCTATTGACAATTGATGTTACAATATTAATGCTATAGTACTGTAGTACCAATTGCTTCAAATTAACTGCTCCTCCCTATTGACAATCACATCATAATTACATTGGAGGCCAACATCCTGGGTTACGACTCGTATGTCTTATAAACTAAACCAATTGCTTAAGTATACATTTATATTTAAACATATATTTATTTAATATAAAATTTAAGTAATATTTAGTGAGAAATTTATTAAGATCTTTGGTTTGCAAACAACACTTAAATAATCACATTTTATGCCATATTTTAAAAAAATCAAATGACATGTTGACTAAAATTTTATGATAAAAATGTTCATATATTCTATCAAATATCAAATACATTCATCAATGGCTTTGAATTAATTTCAATTACAAATCTAATTCACAATTAGTGATGTTTAAAAAAAAATCATCTATAAATTAACTGAATACACGATGAATACAATTATCAATTATTAGTTTGTATTTAATGATGAATATAATAAAAGCCATTAAAAGAAACAATTGTCTACACAATGCACTCAATTATGCAGATATATACCATATAAAGGCACAACTGTTTAGGTCTTAATGTATATCAAGATTAATGCGAAATAAGTCATATGAAGATAAACAACGAAACCAATCGTTGATATCAAAACTAAAATCAAAATCACATATAAGTAGGCATTTCCTGTCCTGTTAATAGTCTAAACATTGAAGTTGGCATAGTTTTCATAAGTATCTGTAAAATCATTTTATAATCACATAATTAATATTAAAAATTACTAATATATAACTACAATATCTACCTCTCCCACAGAAGTGGCTAATAAATTAACGATACGATCGTGAGGAACTGCTACAACCTGTCACAACATTTAGCAAAATTATAAAATGGTTGTATAAAACAATATATTAATTATACAAATCTTACACTTTGTCCATTGATTTCAATGATTCTGTGTCCGACTCTAACACCTCCTCTTTCAGCAATACCTCCCCGTAATAAACTGCAAATCTATAAAAATAAAATAACATTAAAAAATTATGCTTTACTTTTTAAAAATGTTAAAAATAAACTAACCACTCCATTTTGAACACTGAATCCCAATTGATACTTAGTGTCCGGCCGTTTAATCTTAACCTCAACCACTGGAGGACAGGGAACTACTGTAAACTTGACTACAGTTTGGTTTTTTGTATTCTTTAAAAAATAATTTTTTTAAAAAACAAAGTTTTTAAAGAAATAAATATTTAAAAAATTACTTTAATATAATTTTGACATGTCGATAGAGGAAGGCCTACTAGACTAACTCCATTAATTGCTATAATTTGGTCACCGATGTTAAGTTGGCCGCAACGAGCACTTGGTCCGTGTTGTGCCATATTAGCAATGACTACTGTAGGCAACATTGAACCCCATCCAGACTCTACAATAACCATTCCCAATATTTCACCCTTTTGTTTGGGAACAATAACCTAAATAATAATAATAATAATAATATAATAACTAACTTTACCTAAATTATTGTATATTTAGTAATAATTTTAAATGTGTTTAATTTAATTAATAAATACTTCTTTTTGTTTTTCCTTTTTGGCAAACATTTCTAATTCATTGCCAAATATCTGCTGTGAATTAAGAACTTCTTGATAATCCATTTCTTTAACAAAACTGCTGTCTTCAATGCCATTAGCTTTGAGGAACTCCATATATGCCACTTGAAATGCCTGTCCAATAGATTGTGCAATAAATTGGGCCTCTTCTGACTCAAATATATGACATATCATTTTGGGTATTCTTTTAATTCCCGATTCATTCGACTCGTCCATTGGATTCAATATTCTTCGTCTAGCCATCAAAACTAATAGGTCACCGATGTCTGCAATGTATGATATAGTGCGTAACGAGTGATCCATCATTATTTCCTTTTTAATAACGAACAATAAAATTTTAATATAAATATTAATTTATAAAATATTAATAAATCACCTTAAGATCAGTATTGAGAACCATTATCTTTTCAGTAGAGATAAATAGGTCGACATCAGTGCTCGGTTGAGTTTCGCCATCCGGTGCCTTAAATTAGTCAATACATTAGAAATCATTTAATAAAAATATTATTCATAAATAATACATTAATTGAAATAATAATTGAAAAGCAAATGAAAAACTTACCAAAGTCTTTATGGTTAGCATTTAAAGATAAGAAAATAAGTAGTGATAGAAAATTTTGTTATCAGATAATTAACAAAATAAATAGATATTATCAATATTATCACTAAATATTAATGCAAGTTATAATACTGTAGTTTATAAAATTATTAACTAAAGATAAAAATAAATATTAGTAATAGGTATACCTTTATCCTAGAAACGGCTTCCTCAGCCTGCATCATACGAGTGGCTTTAGTTGGCTGTCCCTCACATACTAATTGAGTTGATCCCAAATATCGGGCACGAAATAGGACGCCTTCAATCAAGACTGTCGGGTCATAATTAAAGGCTATAATTTCAATATATATATTAAACAATTAGAAATCTTCGCAAAATTTTTTTTGAAAAAATATATAGTTTACTCACGTATTATAATATCATCATAGAATATATGATAGTTTTGAAAATTAAGATAAATTTGTTTAATAACTATATATTATAAATGTATTAATAAATATTGATTCATACCTTCACGTGTGGCATTTGATCTTTTATTTGGATTGCTCTGTAAATAAGTAATATATACATATAAAGTAAAGTATATAATTTAATATCAATTTTTCATAACATAAATATAAAGTATATTAAAATTATTAGTATAAAAAATTATTATGTTATATTATATAAAATTAAATAAGCATATGATCTATGAAAAACAATGTTATATATATATATAGTATATACAATGTGTAAGCATTATAAATATATAATTAAATCAATTATGAAAAGCATTGTTAAAAATATAGTATCATTATATACAATACAGTAAATTATATCAAATAATATATCATATTAGCAAACTTGCAAACAGACATCATAACACATTTAGTCATTATTTAATACTGTATTATATTTTATATACAATATATTGTTATACAAGTGTTTATATCAAATGGTAAAATGTAAAAAATAAGTAAAAAACATTATATCAGCAAATAATACAATTATAGTTCAATTTAGTTAATATTTAGTTGTTTTGATCGTCAAATAAATAGTGATTAGTCGTGAATAATAAAGCACTGAAAAGCATTGCGTGATTTCAAATGAATGAAATTATTAGTGATAATCATATAATTGTATAATCAATATACCTGTTCATCACAACAGTTCTCAATTCTAATGTAGTCATTGTTTCGGGGATTTAACTTAAACAGTGATGACATAGAAGTGAATCTAAAGTTAAGTCGTTCCTGAAATCAGGCATTAATTCAAATGTATTTTCAGTTAACAAAAATTCACTTTCTTTTCGTTTAATAATCAAATCCAATATATTAAACGTTTATAACATCTCAATCGATAGGAATTAACACAAAAGCAATAAATTATAAAAACATATCTTATATACAGTAATACAAACACACAAATAGAGTCATAAATTAACTGTAAATAAAATATTTTAATAAATATACGATTACTTTGTATCAATTTTAAGCATTGCATTGTATTAAACATCTGCGCAAAAGTTAATTAAATGCAATTTTCCAGAGCTTTTCAAACCATTTCAAACGCTTTATCCATAATTTTTATCACAATAATTATAATCATTTATATAATTCAATGTTTAAAAATATATTATAATCTAAAAAAGGAAAATGTGTTTAAATGGCTTACTTTATGGTCAAAGAAGCCGCGGTCATCACACCGTTGGGCGCCTAATAATCGGTCAGTTTCTTGATCCGTATCACAGTCTTTATTATAATAATACAGTATATTAAGTATTTATAATTTTATAATTAATTTAATAATTAGTATGAAATAAATAAATAAATGAATTTATTAAATGGTAACCTTCGTCGTGATGGTGATGTCGCGAAACATTTTGTTGTTCACAATTAGTTGAGTCATCGGTATTGGCATTGACTGACTTATTGACATTTGTCTCATTAGTTCTACATTTAATTAATTGTATTAATTATAATTTGATTAAAATTAATTAGATGTCCTATTCATATACCTGGGCACCCAAATTGAATCATATGATTCATTTTGTTGGCAACCGTTGCCATCATTTATATTATTACAATCTTTATTATGATCACTACTAATCTGCTTATCTCTTACTTCATCGATATTTGATTTATTTTCGTGACAATAATTTTGTGTATCATTTGTATCATTTCCTAATATTTAAATCAATGAACTTAAAATCTGTTTACTGTATTTAATAAAAAGATTAATAGATTGTAAAACTTACGGTAATTATCGTAATGATTATGAGTTGTGACACTTTTATTGTGCGAGTGATGACTATTATAAGCAATTTGGTGCTCTTGAATGCCATCATTTCGCTTAAGTTTAGCATTAAGTTTAGCGACTAATTCCCTCTCCAGTCGTTCACACATTTGTTTCTTTGAATTGGAAATATGTGTCGGAGACTCATTATCGTCATCCAACTCATTATCACTGGATGGCACACCACTGGAGAGACCATCTTCGAGTACAGGCATTACTAATTTGTTTGAAAGTAAACTGCCTTCTAATGAAAGTTCACTTTCTATTTCATTGCTGTCACAATCAGTAATATCAGGTGAAAGAGTAAAATTTCTATTCATTTCTTTAGATTTATGTTCTACTTCTGGTTCAGTGTCGACACCGGTTCCAACTGATATCCGATCAGATGAAACCATTTCATTAAGTATATGTTGTCTGACTCGTTCATGTAATAAAATTAACTCATTTTCATGAGCTATCAATTGGTTTGAATCATTATTAAGGCTTTTTGAAGGACTGACGGCTACTGATGTGTCGTCTTCCGAATCGGCAGAGGATTGTGTGGCTAAACGTTTGCCGACATATAAGTTGCCGACTTTGTCTACTTTGTTATCCATTCGATACAATTTATAATCCAAGTCTGAAAATGGATACATTTTAGTATCAGAAGATTCGACGAGCACTTCATTTCTATCAGATTCACTAACAGCTGCACTTTGGATGCCAGATGACTGTGACTTTGAACCGTTGGATGCATTGGTACAGCTATTAGTTGGCGAGTCTTCGTATTGCGTGGGAATACTAAGTATTGATTTTACCAATTCATCACATGATATGTCGACTAATCCTTTGTTGGATTCATTACTAGAATTGGCTAAACCTACCGAAAGCTCATCATTATTAATAACTCTTTGAGGATAACCGGGTGGTTTAGGTCCATATCTTCTGGGAGATCCTTCATATTGAGCAATTGGAACATTTCCGATCACTCGAGCGATCTCTTTATTTTCATCATCGATTGATATACGGTCTCCAAAAGAAATGCTGTCTTTACTGCAATCACTTTCATTACAATTGTTTTCGACAACTTCTTCTTCAATCTCCAATTCATTGCATTTTACTATAGGATCACAATTGACATCTATTTCTTTGACACTGTTATCAGAGTTTTTGCTATTAGTCTCTATCGGTTTAACCGATAAATGAATATCTTTTTTATCTAAATCTTCGATGTCATCATAAATAATCTCTGACTCTGTATTTGAAATCACGTCTTCATAGACTACAATACCTGAAGTAAGTGTGTGTTTGTGTTCAATACCTTTACTTAAGTCAGTCAATAGATCACTGATTGGTGATTGAAGTAATTGATTAATTGATGAGTTAGTGGTCATTGAGTTAATGGTTGAATTAGATTCAACTGATATGTCGTTATTGACAACAGTTTGTGTCGTATTATTCCTCTTAGATTTTGTCGCATTAGAAACAGCTTTGTCTTCATTATGAATGTTATGATGAGATAAATGTTTTCTTTTACTAAATTTATTCTTCGATGCGCTGAATATCTCTCTTCCGCCGGCGATCTCAATGCGACTCTCTCTTAGAGTAACGTCATTACCATTATTAGACTGTCTGTCGCTATCAATATCTTCATTGCTACCAATGGATGGTTTGCTACAAAAGTTATAATTCATTGGTTTGTATTCTTCTTCAGGAGATAACAATAGTTGATCCAATTTGAAGCCAATGTTTGTCAAATTGCTTTTGATGTAATTGTCTGTTTGCTGAACGCAATCCCTGTCACGAGCTTTATCTTTGTTGTCATTCATGGTATTATCATTGATAACATCCAAATCAATCAAAATATGTTTATCTCTTAGACTATAGTTTTTGTTGATATCATTAAACTCATTGGTTGTCTTATTCTTGGGCCGACATTTTGGGAAGAGTTTGTCAATCAACTCGTCATTAATGATATCTTCATCGGTGGTATTTATATTGAATTTATTGAATTCATTCGCCATAATATCACAACATCTGTCACACCGATGTCTATATACATCACAACCAATTGGTGGACCAACCAGTCAGTCATCAATCACATTATCACATCAATTAAGACATCAATTTGTCATTTCAACCATTTGTGGTACAATTCATTCATACCATATCTTCCTCTTCATGCACTCAATGGTCACTATATCTTATAAATTACAGTCAAATACAAATCACTCATCAATTGTTGTGACATTTGATAAACCATTTCAATAAACAAATCACTCGATGTTTACAAAAACAACTCATAATATCATAACATTAATACAGTTATAGACATTGTATTCAATGAGAGAGTCATTCAATGATTACGTTATATCATATGAATGTATTAATACATTGTATTGAATGAATGAATGTATTATTTAACGTAAATTTAATCTCAATTTATACACACATTTGACACACCATTTGAATTGAATATTAAGTTCTATTGTTTTGACGATTAATTAAATCAATTGATTACTCATTAATGACAATCATATCATGTGATTATCATATGATTTATATTTACTGATAACTGATTTTAAAAAGACTTTGACTATTGTTATCATATGTTTTGATTGTTTTACTGTTATTGTCATTGAATTAACAGTTATTATAATTAAATTGAATGATGTATTCAACAAATGATAATAAAAAACAAAAACGATACGAAAAGATTGAGTTCTTGGGTGAGGGACAGGTAGGTCTTGGTTTGAATATTAATATTATTATTAATATTATATATTATTGTTTTTGTTGTCTTCGGTGACAGTTTGCCACCGTTTACAAAGCAAAAGACACGGAAACCGGTGATATTGTGGCCGTCAAAAAGGTATTAGGATTTTAAGATATGTTGAAGATATTTATTATTATTATTATTAAAAATATGACTTCAGATAAAACTCGGCACAAGAGCGGAGGCCAAGGATGGCATCAACCGAACGGCTTTAAGAGAAATAAAACTTTTACAAGAGTTGAATCATCCAAATGTGATCGGTGTAAGTCTTGTTGTTTAATTGTTTAATTAAAACACTTATGTCTTAAATGATTAATTGATGTTTGTTTGCATTAGTTGGTGGATGTGTTCGGTCATCGCTCTAATGTATCGTTAGTTTTTGATTTTATGGATACAGATCTCGAAGTGGTAATAAAAGACACTAATATAGTGTTAACTCCGGCTCACATAAAGTCATATATTTTGATGACATTAGAAGGATTGGAATTTCTGCACATGAATTGGATTCTTCATCGGGTAAACCATTGATTGATATATTATTTTTATTAATTTTCTGTGTATTTTAGGATCTAAAGCCAAATAATTTACTAATTGGTGAAAATGGTGTCCTAAAAATTGGTGACTTTGGTTTAGCCAAAGCATTTGGTTCTCCTAACAGAATATATACTCATCAAGTGGTTACTCGATGGTATAGAGCACCAGAACTTTTGTTTGGTTCACGAATGTATGGAACGGGTGTTGATATGTGGGCTATTGGCTGTATATTAGCTGAATTATTATTAAGGATTCCATTTCTACCCGGAATGTCTGATTTAGATCAATTGAGTAAAATAATGCAGGCTTTGGGAACACCATCTGAAACGACTTGGCCTGGTGTTGAAAGTTTACCCGACTATATAACATTCAAGTATCAACCGGGAACACCACTTCGGGAAATATTTACGGCAGTCAAAGACGACTTAATTGAAGTGTTATCATCAATGTTAACATTGAATCCATTGAAACGCTGCACCTGTACTCAGGCTTTACAAATGGCATACTTTAGCAACAATCCCACTCCGACTCTAAGCGAACATTTGCCACGACCTCAAAATTCATCGACATTTGATCCAGATATGTATACCAGAGCTTCAAGTAAACGTAACTTAAGTGACAAATTTGCACCAATGGCTAAACGACTTCATTTTGATACTTCTCTCAATTAACTCACAATTTTTGTGATAAAAAAATAAAATATTTTACGACTACTTTTTAATCAGAAGTTATTTAATTTTATTAAATTATGATTAGACATCATTTAAATTATTGTAAATGACAATAAAAATAGATTATTATTAATAATAAGGCATCGAAAGTTGTATATAAATAATAATAGAGTAAATTTATAAATAATACAAATATTAATACTGTACTAAAAAAGTTTATAATTACATAAAGATTTATAAATTTGTCAAATTGTCTCTAAATCAGTCTTTCTTCGGGCGGAGGCTTTAATATTTCAGATGCAGAGTTGCCAAACATCTCTTGCGTGGACGGAGAGTACGTGCCACGTGTGGCGCGCGCGTGTTTGACACTTCGGACAAATATTAAAGACACCACAAGTAAGGCAATTATAAGAATACATCCCATCGTTATTATTAAATAAAATATAAAACTCATCGGAGATGATCTCTATATGATTGTATGATTATATCAATTATCGTTATTAAAGTAATTTAAGTCAATTAAAATCGTTATATTGCTTACCCTTTCTTCACATATAAGTCCAGTCCATTCTTCACTACATTTACACTGATAACCAATTCCTTGATTTGGATTCGGAACACAAGTACCGCCATTAAGACACAAACCAAATATACTGCAGTCAGTAATGGCATCACAATAGGCGTGATTGGAATGATGGTTAGGAAGACAGGCGCAGATCTCCTCCTGGACACAGTGGGAGAAGTCTTTATGACATTCAGATGTACACGAACGAGACATATGACACCTTTCACCAGTGAATCCAATCGGACACTTGCATACATAGGTCTCATTTGTAACTTTAAGACCTTTTATTAATTAACCAAAACCCAAATTAACATTTTTCTATTCAATTGATTAAATTATTAATTATATATAACATACAAGTGGCACCATTTTCACATGGATTAAGAACACATGGATCAGTCATATACTGACAAATTTTACCTAAAAAATTATCACAAATATAGTTTAGTAACTTATAATTACAATAATTATAATTATGTAATAAATGAAAATACCATCAAATCCTGTTTGACATAAACAAGAATAAGAGTTGATCTCATCAATACAGGTGCCGTTATTCATACAGGAATGGTGTTCGCAATCATTTATATTGAGTTCACAGTTGACTCCTTCAAAACCTGATGGACACTGACATAGATATCCAGCCATTTGTGAGAAATTGATATATTGGTCACGAATTAAACTTTCAGAAAACTTGTTAATCAAGTGTTGGTGACTCTTTTCGAAACAAGTGCCACCGTTAAGACATGGAGAGGAACTGCACTCATCGATATCAATCTCACAATGTCTTCCAGTGAATCCTTTCCAACAATGACATGTATAGTTGAGAACCAAGTCTTCACATGATTTGGCGCCTTTGCTGCACGGATTGGACGCACACTCATCGATATTTGTATCACAATTTCTGCCCTCAAAACCTGTTTGATTGCAATCACACGTATAATTGTTGACCAAATCAATACAGTGACCGCCGTTGAAGCACGGATTGGACAAACACTCGTCAATGTTATGCTCACATCTGTTGCCTTCATAACCGGACAAACACTGACAATGAAATGCCCCGATTTGGTCCACACAAATGGCATCATTCATGCAAGGATTGGATTGGCATTCATTGATGTCGTGCTCACAGAGATCACCTTCAAAGCCGTGTTCACATTCGCATTCAAAGTGTGCGATCTTGTTGTGACATTTGGCACCATTCTTGCATGGATTCGATGCACATTCATCTATATCTTGATGACATCTTTCACCTTCAAAGCCATTGGAACAGTTACACTCATAACCGCCAATCTTATCGATACATACGGCACCGTTCTGGCAGGGATTGGGATCGCATTCATTGATATCAAACTGGCACTGATCACCACTATATCCCATTGGACACGTGCACGTGAATTTAGCTATCTTGTTGTTACACGTGCCACCATTTTTGCATGGATGTGATAGGCATTCATCTATGTCTATATGACACTGATCTCCAGTAAACCCAGGTATGCAAAAGCATTGGTAAGCATTGACCAAATCTCGACAAATACCGCTAATACATGGATTGGAAGCGCATTCATCGATATCAGTCTCACAATTTAGACCCGTGAATCCCGCTTCACAGGTACAGGTGTGACCCTTGGTGTTTGAACTACAGGTGCCGTTGACACATGGGTTTGAAGCGCAGTGGTCTATACTTCGCTCACAATTATCTCCTTCCCAACCTTCTGGACAAATACACTCATAATTATTAATTTTATCGATGCAATGGTGACCAATAGGACAGACAACTTGTGCACATTCATCGATATTGGTCTCGCAGTTCAGTCCTAATATTAGATTTTAAAAACTTTTTTAGACAATTATATAATTTATATAATATAGAACTATAACTGACCCGTGAATCCCTGTGGACACGTGCAGGCATACAATGGTGAAGGTGGTTGTGTAGTACAGGTGCCGTTATTAGCACACGGGTTGCTCTGACAGGAGTCATAAAACTGGTCACAAGTGAGACCAGTGTATTGTGAGGTACAGATACAGGTGAAGCTGACATTGTGTATGTGATTGATCAGGTCTTGACAGGTACCACCATTGGCACATGGATTAGACACCTGACACACACTCTTACTGATGGCAGTTGTGGTGATAGTTGTAGTGAAGGGACTTATAGTGGTCGTCGTCGTCGTCAAAGTTGTGGTACTAATGTTTGTTAGATTCAGTTCATTGTTATCACAGATAAAGCCGTTTATCAGATATAATGCAACGACAAGTGTTAGCTCTAAACGAAGCCAACAATTGTTTGATCGATACATTAGACTTCAAGTTTTCACAAATTATTATTACATTTAAAACTATTAATTTGTTTGTAAATCACATATTAAATAAAAAAATAAATATTTATATGATATATAAAAAAAACTTTCATTTGTTGTCATTTTGTAACAAACGGATCCATTATTTAACTTATGAAACCTGAGACCTGTTATTAAGTGTTTAGTCTAACTCAGGGCTCACCACTTCTTACAGCACATACCTTAACAGCACTTCAAAGTTTAAGATATAACAAAACATTGGGAACTTTCCTCTAACGTCCCATACCAGTGCTCAATGAAAAATTTAACTAGATCAATTAATAATATTTATTTAGCTGTTTTACACTATTATAGTACTAATATAATAAGCATTTAATTACGACAACACATATTGTCAAGTATTTAATAACTAAAATAAACTTTTGTTATTTTATTAATTGTTATACATTTCAGGTAACTATGTCGACACTGGGTATGCCTACTAACAACCATACAGGTGTGTTGGCTTCAAAATGATTGTAATGAGCCTCAGGTGAGTCACACCTACAGCAAAGTACGTGATATTCATTGCTTTTAAAGGTATAGCACTTTATTTCATCGATTGGTTACTTATTTTTATTATTAATCTAATTTCATATCAATTTTTATAATTTAATTGCTATTTTTATAATTAGCATCTAATAAACAATTTGTAATATTTTGTAAATTAAAGATTCATTTAACTGCATATTTTTATTATTATCATATAATTATTGTTAATAAATATTTATATTTATTATCACAAGAAATTATTGAAATAACAAAATCTATTTTAACAGTAAAAAAGATAAGACTAATCTAAACTATTTTGTTTAACTCATAATTTTTGTTTTATAAATAACTGTAAATATATAGCCTTGATAATTTATTTGCTGTGAATTATTTTCTAAATTTCCTAAAAATAACCCAGGTCTATGGTCTATGTTTTATAGTTATATATAAACATTTGTTTACAATTAATATTTTGTCACCAATTATTGTGGATTCATTTGTCCTCATTTTCTAACACTAAAATCAATGAAGACATTAATAATATCATATAATAAAAGAGATAAAACATGGTTTGTGAACAATATTATTGTTTAAATTAAACAAAAACCTTATAAAACAATGTAAACCAAATAATACCAAATAATAGTAAAGTTTTTTAAACACATAAAGTTGTAAAAGTTTTTGACCCAAACTTATAAAAAGATTGCTTCAAAATGACGTAATACTCGCTATTGCTTTAATATGACTACTGTTTTACTATACATTTATTGTAATAACATTTATTACATAAGTTTCTGACATAACTTTTATGTTATGTTCATTGATATGAACGCTAAGACATATTCAACTAAATAAAAAACTTAAACACTATTTCTAAAACTTATATTAAATTAATTTTAACATTAAATGGTTTAAAAATTAATTGAATCAATGATTTTACATAAAAGAAATGCATTCAAATAAGTCGTTACTTAATATAAACTAAAGTTATAGCCATTGATTGAATGTTAGTGTTTGTAATGTTATAGTTATTGTTAGTCATGTGTTATATAAGTGTTAGACTCGAACCACACGTTAACTGCAATACGTTATACATTGCAGTCATATATAGTGTTTGGTTTGGATTGCAATCACTCAGTGATTACTCATCCGTTTGTTTAGTATTTTTAGTCAAACTGTTTGTCAATCAAACCATTTATTTATATGAAAACCACTTAATTGTGGCTAAAATTATATTTTAACCACCAATTGATTGATTACTTTTTAAAATCATTTATAGTTTAAATTCATCGTTGATTTTATAAATTAGTGAGTATTTGACATAAATATTGAAATATTTGTATTAATTTTTATAATTGATTTGATTTTTAACTCAAATATCTATGATTTATGTTAATTAACTAAAGTTATTGTAATTAGACTTTTGTTTTGAATAGTCATACTTAATGGTAAAATATATGAATATCACTAATGAGATGTATTTCAGGTGAAGATGTCGGGTCTATTCAAGTTATTTGGCGGCGGAAAAAACTCCAAATCGGCGGCGCCGTCGCCCGCGGAGGCCATACAAAGGTAGGTCACTCTTGACTTATTAAGACATCTGTTAAAAATAATATGTTTGTTATCAGACTTCGAGAAGTAGAAGAAATGCTTCATAAGAAACAAGAATATCTCGAAAAGAAACAAAATGAAGAATTAGATGTAATCAAGAAGAATGGCACTAAAAATAAAAGGGTTAGTCTTCAGGCACTCAAACGCAAGAAGAGAATCGACAAACAATTGGAACAAATAGATGGTTAGTACTTATTATTATTTGATAATATTATAGTTAATTAGTTTAGTCTTAAAAAATGTTTTACTCTATTGTATATCTTTTAGGAACCTTAACAACCATTGAATATCAACGCGAAGCTCTCGAAAACGCCAACACTAATACCGAAGTACTTAAGATTATGGGAGTGGCGGCCAAAGCACTCAAACAAACTCATAATAATATGGATATCGATAAGGTTTGTAATAATTATATCCAATTGGTTATCAATTGTTACACAATTTATATTTAGGTCGAAGACCTTATGGATGAAGTGAAAGAGCAACAACAGATTGCTGAAGAGATAAGTAATGTTATCTCTAATCCAATTGGTTTTGGACAAGACGTAGATGAAGATGACTTAATGAAGGAACTGGAAGAGATGGAACAGGAAGAGCTCGACAAACAACTATTGGACACAACGCCTGAAGTCTTGCCAGAAGTGCCCGCAGCAGAAGTTCCAGTGGCGGCGCCGCGTAAGACTTGTTTGCAATATTTAATCCTTATTTTGATATATATTTTATTTTATATTTTTTAGGCGCGTCTTCAAAGAGAAAGGAAGAAGACGACGAATTAGCAGAGTTGGCTCAATGGGCTAATTAGACAGAGAGAGAGAGAGAGAGCACATGATTATTGTAATATATATTTACGGTAATTATATATTTCTAATTACCGTATAATTTAAAGCAAAATAGTCTAATGAAATGTATTATCAAATGCTATTATTTTATTAAATTAAAAATAACTTCAATTTATAATAATCAAGATTTTACATAAAATAGAAATGTTTGTTAACTTATAATACTTAAAATTCTTGAACAAGTTTTAAAATCAATTGTTTTTGATGTTCATCGCGTTCATTGGCAAAGTTTTTCATAATAGTCTTAATAAATTTATAATGATTTACTGAACTAATTGCGTGCAAATTAATTAACTTCATTACACGTGATTTTATCGTCTCTTTATTTGAAGTGCTATTGTTTTGTTCACCTTTTTCGGTGGCCATTGATTCCAACATATCGTCATAAAGAGAACATATGAGAAGAATGATGTGATCAACAATCTGAAGAGTAAACAATCCTCCGTCAGTGAGTCTTCTCATGAAGAACTCGTCTTCATCTATGGTTTCTTCGTTAATCATTTTCAAAGCCCTTTCTTTTTTTATCAACGAATCACATTTGATGAGTCGTTCGGAATACTTGAAGTGCATTTCAATGAGACGATCGGTCTTTTCAAAGTCTAATTCACTAAACTTAGCTAAAACTCTTCTTTTAAGATCTGTTTTACAATGTGTCAGTAGTGCTACTATTATGGAAAGGCAATGCTCCTCAACCTCATCAATAGAAGTCAACTCTTTCTTATTGCTAACAATTGATTTGGGTTTCATAAGGATAGGCATCAATACTCGGAGGCCAAGTATTTCCACAAACTTATTACAACACATGTCTATCATTTCTTCATTACTCTTGTCTGAACTTAAACAATGATTAATTACTTTAAGTGATCCAACTTTTACACAACTATTGGATCCTTTTTTGCGTTTCTCTCTTAATATTAGATTCATTAATTCGATGCCTTCGCCTTTGAAGAACAGATCTCTATTTGATGAACAACATAACAATGAAGAACATAAACAATTAAACAAATTTTCAACATATTCTTGTTCGTCACCAATAGATGGGTCGTGTCTTTTATAGTACTAAATTAGTTTAAAATATTAATAATTGAGTTTCAAAATAATAAATATAATATATTTAAAAATATTAATAATATAATGGATATACAGCTATGACTCGAAGCAGAGTATCGACACCATTGGTCTCACCAAAGAGTTTCTTGTTTTCGTCATTGTTTTGAAGTAATATCGATAGTATTTCAGAAGAGTATAGTTTGTTGCCATCAAATGGTAGCTTAGCTTTAAATCGTTTCAAAATCCAGACAATTAAAGATTGACAATCGCTTAGGTTTGGCTTAAAATCAGTCAAATTTTCAATAATTGCTGTAAAAATTTAATTAATTATTAAAAATTTCAATACAAATCATATTTGTAATCAATATATTAATAATTTAATGTAAAAAAACCTAAAGAATTATAAACTCCTTCGGCTTCTGCTTTAACTGTTTCATCCAATCGCTCCATATTTGTCACCAATAATGCAATCACTTGACCGTTAAGTAATTCGTCGAGAAGAAGACTGACATCGTTTAGTTCTTGAATATCATCCAAATCTGTTAATTCTTGAAGAAGTGCCACAACAGCACATGAGATATCTGTATTGTCGTGCGATAAAAGTCCGAGAAGTGTGGGAATGATATTCAGTTCAACAATGATGTGATACTGTTGTGGTTGAGTACTCAAGACATGAATGCATTGAATCCCATCAAATAATTCCATTTCTGAATCCATAAATTTCTGTGGATTGTCACCAAATTTGATCCGCAATTCTTGATTCTTAAGCACTTTACGCTCAAATTGTAGTAAAAGTCGTTTGAGTGCCGTTTCGTCCACTTCGGCCTCAACTGAGTCTGCCGTCACGTCCAACATGTGTTGATCGGTCACATCGTCCGACAATTTTGGCCGTTTGGCCGAATTAGCTTCACCTGAATGACGGTCTCGTCCATTAAGATCTACGGCGTCGGTAGTCAGCGGCGTGTAATTGAGGACATCGTTGATATCCATTTGATTAGCCAATTGGTGACCAACTTGTGGCCAATCGATAAAATTGGCGGTCAATTGAGTCTACGATTGATATAACTATTGATTTGTTTGTTGACAACAATGTGTTCACAATAAGCGTTACATCAGTTGAGACCCCTTTCGTATTATACATAGTCTATGAAAGACACTGTGAGTGACTGAGACACTGATTGTTGCCATACATTGAATGTAAAGTTTGAGTGCAACGGACAACACCTCTACAGTCAATATGAAGACTCAATTGAATTGATTGTTGACTCAAATGTTGAGTAAATTACATACAAATGTAAATAATTTGACAAACAGTTGACTATTAAGTGATTGAAAACATTGAATACATTTGATTGACATGTGATGTGATGTGTTGTGACGGCCAGTGATTATCACCGATAAGTCTTAGACAATGACTGCCATCAACGACAACCAAACATGTTATATGGCATTGATGTCGATGGCAGAGGAGTTCCGGACACAGTCGCCGCCCGACATGAGATCATGTGTCCAGTGTTTGCTCGCATCACTCAATGTGGTCACACATCCCGCCATTGAGGCCAAAACACATCTTCATTTGGGAAATATTTTGTTTCATTTCACTACCAATTTAGACAAAAGTCAGTCACATCTGGAAAAAGCGGTCAGTTGTCACTTAAGACACCAATTAATTAATTAATTATCATTAGTGATGATTGAATGATAATTTTAATAATAACTTTTATTATCATTTTAGTGGTGTTTATCGCAATCAGTGCCCAATTGTGATGAAATCCTATTTGAATCGGTGTCACTGTTGGCAACAGTTTACGATAAAAAGGTGACCATTAATGATGACTATTGTCTTGTAATAATTGTTTGAATTAATTGCTATATATATTAAACAGAATGACTCGCAAAGAGCTAAACAGATGATAATCAATACATTAGATCGATCGCAGCCCTGGATCTATTGGCACTCAAGACTTCTGTTCCAATTAGCCGTTAGTTTTCATTTTAATTACTATCGTATTAATTACTTATCAAATATTACATATCCTATAACCTCAAAACAAATAAGCTTTTTATTTGGATATATATTTTTTATTGATCTTAAAATTTAATGATATTTTGTGATAATATTTGACTGAATGATTATAATGATTGTAATATTTTTGTTTGTTTTAATCATATATCAAGTTGTCATTTAGTAATATTAATTACAATTAATTACAATTATTTATAATTTTTAAAAACAAATTTCTATATTTGTACAGCAAATACATGCAAACGATAAGGAATATCATTTGGCGTCTAATATCTTGAGTGTTGGTGCAGATTATGCCAACAATTCTGGTGCTCACTACACACGCATATTGTTTTTGTTAAGTAAAGGAATGACATTAATGATAGACAAACGTCTTACTGAAGTTCATCCAGTCTTGAGTCTCGCCGGACAGTTAGTCGAGACATGGAATGGAAATCTTCAGATGAAAGAAGCACTCAAAGTATATTTTCTTGTCCTTCAAGTTTGCCATCACTTAAATGCCGGACAAGTAATTAATTTAATAAATATATTTGTTGTCAATTTTTAATTGTTTGTTTTATTTTCAGGTGAAAAGTGTAAAACCATGTTTGAAACTTCTCCAACAAAGCATTCAAAGCATAACTGCTTATCACAGTGAAGATGGTATGATATTTGATGATTGATTTGTTATTTATTTGTTAATGAAATAACTTTTTTAACAACAGATTATGTGAATGTCAATCCAAATGAGTTGTTTATTTGGATGCCAAGAGAGCATATGTGTGTTCTTGTATATCTGGTTTGTATTGTTATTTGTATTATAAAATTAAAACAATAAACTATAATGTGATATCATATCAAATAATATCAGGTGACAGTACTTCACTCAATGCAAGCCGGATATATGGATAAGGCTCAGAAATATACTGAAAAGGCATTAATGCAAATCGAGAAACTTAAAGGTTAATAATTTAAATTAAAACAAAAAACATAATTTAATTTTTTGCATTTAATAATTAGCTGTAGGCACTCATCCAATGCTCAACACATTTCAATTGCTTCTCTTAGAGCACATAGCAATGTGTCGGCTGGTTATGGGTAACAGAACTTTAGCCATCAAAGAGGTATTATCATTATAAGAGTAAATTTAATGAAAATTATAATTATCGGTAATAATATTTTTATTTTTGTGATAATAGACAGTACAAGCACTCCAAATATGTTATGGAGACCCAAAACTTAAGATAAGACATAAGCCGTTAATTCACGCACTTTTAGGAATGTATGCCATGTCTATGAATCAAACAGATGCAGCTGAAGCACAACTGGCCACTGCTTTAAGAGTATGTTTATATATATTATATATGTATATATAACAAGATATATGTGTTATATTTTGGCCGTTTTAGATACCGAGTGCCTGTACCGAACTGCGGGTAATGACCAGTTTGAATTTAGCCATTGTTTACTTAAGGAATAAACGCGAAAGAGAATTAAATGACTTATTGGGAAAATTAAATCCCGAAACCCTTCCCTCAGTGTATGTATTATTAAACTAATTTAATTAATTTTCAAATATTTAACATATTTTATATTATATTATAGATCTCAAAGCCTGAAAGCGGCAGCTTATTATGTATTGGGATTGAACTCATTTTTTCAGTCACGATATAATGATGCTAAGTATGTCCATAATTATTGCAATAAAAACCAAGTTATTTACTTTAATTATTTATTAAATCAAAAGGCGATATTTAAGAGAAACATTGAAAATGGCGAACGGAGAAGATCTTAATCGACTAACTTCTTGTTCACTCGTCCTCTTGGGTCATATATTCTATGCTTCTGGGAATAGGTATATCAAATGATATCTTTAAATAAGAGTTTAAATAATTTATAATAATTGATTGATTGATTGATAGTCGTGAAAGTATGAATATGGTTACTCCGGCTATGCAATTGGCCAGTAAGATACCAGACATTCACGTTCAACTTTGGGCCACATCTTTACTTAAAGGTATACTAATTTATATATTGACTCTAATTGTATACATCGACCATAACTTTATAAAATGTTTATATATTTTTGAAGATCTTTACGGCCAGTTTGGAGAACACGGTCGACAACAAGAAGTGACTTTAATGCACCAACAATTCTCACAAACTTTAATCAATGATCACATCAACGCATCTCAACTTCAAGAACATAGTTATATTCATGTGAGTTAAAGTTTAATGATTTTATCATTATTTTAATTAAATATTAATTTTATGCTTATATTCTTTAATTCTAGTGGTTTGATCAAAACGATTGTTAATAAAACATAATATATTTTGGTTCATTTAATTCATTATTTCATTTTCTAATATATATATATATATATATATATATATATATATATATATATATTCATATAACTTAATGGGAATTAAAGATTTTAATTTATAATAAATAATAATAATTATTATTATTTAACAAATTCTGTAACATAGTTGAATATTTATAAAAAAAAATCTTAAAATTGTTTTTTATTGTAATGATTATATGCAAAACAATATAAATAATAACTGTATAGTAATTCCAAATAAAATAATATCTTAAAATAACAAATAAAACAATTATTATAGAGTTATTAATGAAAACACCTGTTAGAGCACAGGTATTGCTATGACATTGCGATTGTCATCAGAGAATATATATTAAAAGTATGGTATTAGTGCTCTATTAGCAAATGGTTAGGTGGAGCCTATAGGGCTGTCACTAATATTTCAGAACATATATTCTGAATGTAAAATTCTGGTCGATTTTATACTATATATACGGTATAGTATACATCATATACTGGTATTCACATATAATTTATATATATTATACGCTTTCATACCTCCATAGCTGATCCACATTACAGTCATTTGTTTGTAATTTCCGTTATACCGAAAAGCTTGACATCAGAATGACGTCATCTAAGAAGCGATGTCTTTGATATTAATTTTTTGTTTGTTTTACTAATTTGAATATATTGTACCAAATGTTTAATACAAATAATTTTAAATATAATGTTTTTGATCGTCGATTTGATCCATTAACGAAATATTGAACTTTGGTAACAATATGTCTTTGCTTTGTGTGACAGTCCGGAGGGCTCAACTCGAAGGCAATGATGGTATGTATTTGAAGAATATTATATTATATTGAAGTGAATTAACTGATTCTCTTGTAATTACAGCTCAATTCAGTACTTATGTGACACTTAAGCTCCAGAATGTTAAGTCAACGACAGTAACAGTAAAGGGTTGTAATCCTTGTTGGGAACAGGACTTTATGTTTGAGACGAATCGCATAGATACTGGTCTTGTCATAGAATTATGGAACAAAGGTCTTCTATGGGATAAATTGATTGGAACCAATTGGATGCCTCTAATTAACATCCAATTTGCTACTGAAGTGGCTGAAGGACAATGGCTATCATTGGATGCAGAACTAGAGATAATAAATGGTGAAGTGTGTGGCACTCATACACCAACTGGTCATCATCTTCTACTTGAAGCACACTTTGAACCGCCTTATGAGTTACAGATCGATGACGTGGGAGAGTTTAGCCGCAAATTGCAATATCTTAACACTTATATGGAACAGGAAATGATTGCCTGGAATCAGGAACAGAGAACTCGTTTCAATCCTCACGCAAACCAACTTTATTCGGGACTCTCTGAAGATAGTGATTATACCAGTGATGTTAGTTATCCATTACAACAGCCCTGCACTTCAGCACATCACGCAAACAGCTCGACCTCACACTTCGCTAGTGCCGCTCAATTCACACAACGGGCCTTAGATACCATTGATCGCGACTACACTTCTGGCCATTACGTCAATGATATGTCCGCAGAAGAGTCGTTTGATTGTGTGAACCAATCAAATCAAATGCATAATAGCTTTGATGAAAATCCTAATCAATCCTATGATTCAAATCAATTACCGGTACATAAATCCTATAATCCTAACCCAAATTATGATTATTATGGTAGCGATCAAAATAATTATCAAAATAGTTTTCCAGAAGAACCTCTTTCTTATAATAGTCGTCCAAAAAGACGGACATTACCTCAGATTAGTGATAAAACCCGAAAAAATTCTTTTGTTAATAATGTTAATCAAAATATAGAAACTCCAAACTTTCCAAATAATCAAATAAATACTGATTTACAAAACTCTCAGTATTTCAATCAAATGGATTATAATAATATCAATGATGTGAATCATATGCCGATTCCCAACTTTCATAGGTCTCGACCAACAGTTCCACAACGAAAACTGCCTCTCCGTAAGCCTAGCCTTGAAAGACAGGGATGTTTTGAACACTATGAAGAAAATTTTGAATCTAACCGTCAAATTCAATATAATGATTATGAGACCAGTTATGATCAACAAAGACCTGAATTAACTGATCAATACTATAGTGTTGACGAAACATTCAAAGATGAAGACAAATATGATTTAAATGATTATAACAGTTATGTGGATACTGTCGCACCAAACACTGTCCTCCAAAATGATTTAGTTATTGATAATAATTATAATAATAATCAATTTATTAATAATAGTAGTAATAGTGTTAATAATAGTGTTAATAGTGGTGTTAATAGTGGTGTTAATAATAGTGTTAATAATAATATAAATAATACAAATCAACAATTATTACAACGAAACAATAATCTTGAATTAAGTGCCGGAACTGTTAACAATTGGAACAACGAAACTATTGATAATCAATTGCCAAATGAGTTTCAATGGATCCGCAAGAATTCAGACAAGAAGAAGGAACAGTGGAAGAGTTCAGCGCAAACCGAGTCAACCATTTGGCAGACTGTCGAAGAAGACCACTTCGACGAGTCATTACCAGCAATGGGAACCACTGACAAGCAATCGCCACAGTTTATCACTCCTAAGAATAGTATTGATCAAAATAGTGACACATTTAATGATCAAAACGATAGTGTAGTACATAAAAGTACAATCGAAACAATACCTGTCGATGAAATCAATGACTTTGCCAATGAAATGCCATCGATTCCCAGTACTCTTCCGCACAGTGCTATCAAAAGTGATAACAGACCTTCCGGTGAACCAAAAACTGTTAAATTTAGTGATGATATTTGTAAAAGTCCTCCAAAAAGTGAAATACCAGCGCCTTCTTCATTGATGATGACATCAAGTCTGACAACAAGTCTTTCTAGTAATTCAAACCCTGAAGGTCTGTCCAGAGCACGAGTCCGATGGATCACAGCCTTCAATAAAATTACATCTGAATTATCAGAGGTTTGTTCACATTTTCTATCATTTATTCAATATATTGCAAATTAGAGGAGTCCTATAGTAATCATATACTTACTGAAGTTTAATGCAAATAATTAATAATTAAATGTAGTTTAAAATTTGCAAAATTATATTTAAGTAATTTATAATATTAACTTAATATTAATTGTTTGACATTTATTCAATTGCTTAATTGAAGTTAAACTTTACAAAATAATACAACTAAAATAAAAATTTTGTTTAATTTGTATTATATATTATTATTTATTTGTAAAATGTATTTTATTTGGCAAAAATTTTCATATAATATAGTATTTTCAAAACGATATTTAACAACAAATATTATTATCATTTAAATTTATTTGCATATTGTTATTGAATAAAACTATTGAACATAAAGGAAAAATACATTTAGATATTATTTCAATTAACCATAAGTTAACTTTATTATAATTTCAATTTATTTTCAAAAAATCTTTTTATGTACTTATATTATTTCTAAAATAAAATACTAGTTTATTGTTTAGAATTTTCAATATAATACTTATTTACTTTATAAATTAAAAATGGGTAAATTTTTAAAGGACGTCTATATTTTATAGATCATTTATTTATTTATTTTTAAATTCTTACTAAATCAACAATAATTTAATTAACCTCTCGTTTGTAATATATGTGGACGTCCATTAAGTATGGATGCCTTATTGTTTTAGAAAGTATTATAGCATAAAGTATACTATACTATACAATAATGTAATACTGTTAAGCAATTGTTAAATACTGTATAATATTAATACTTTATATTACTATATGTGATGTATAGACAATAAATATGTTATCCATTACTGAGATTATATGTTATATTGAGATATACTATAAAATATTACTATTTTTCTGTTTTATTTAATAATAGTATAAAATATAATTTATAGCTTATTTGATACTTAAATCAAACAAAACAAATAAGATTTTCTATTATTTGATATTCCGGTATAATAAATATATTTTAATATTTATATAGGATTTGATTAGATTAATATTTAATTATAATAGAAAATAATAAATAAATTTTAATTATTTTTTCAATTTTAATAAATTATGAAATCGAGTTATAAATTAAAAAATAATGTAGAATTTTTTATTTAATTTTTAGTGGAATTGATAAAAATTATTAATATTTTTTATATTTTCACGAATATCTTTTTCTAAACTGATTTATCTATTGATTTATTAATTATATTTTGATGATAATTAATAAAATATAAATAAAACATAAAATTTTTTATTTATCTATTCTATAATTATTTTTTTGCTTAAAATTATTATAGACATCAACGATAAGAGCTAAATAATAGTTTAAAATTTTTAAATAACATTTATAATTAAGAAGATTTAGATTTTCAGATTATAATTAAATTAATAAAGAAATAATATTTTAATAAAAACAAAATTTATATATTTGAAAATGAAAATACTTGTTTACAAAATTATTTTTTATTGTTATGCTATAATTTAATATTTATTTAAGTTAGTATTTTACATTTCATATTATTATTATTATTATTGTTTAAAAAAATATTGGTTTAATTTATTAGATATGCATTATATAATACTGTAATTATTTATTTAGATATTGTTTCTAATATAAGCTCATAGAAAATAAAAATAGTCTAAATATTTTCATTTATAATAATTATGATATTATTTTTTAGTAATTAATATTAAATAACAATTGTTTTAACATACAGTATACTGTATGTACAGTGAGATGCATATCATTTATAACTCGTTAGTGTTGTTAAGATATTGTCAAATTCACACTTGCATTGTCTGGTAATTGTGTGAAATTACAACACAATTTAATTTAATTTTTTTATATAAATATAAACATTTGTTTACTAAAAGGAAAATGAATAACAAATAATTATTCGATAATTTTTAAATTTTATTTGAATTATTTGATGATATGTTTTATTCCAATTACAATATATTAACACTTATTTGTTTAAAAGTGTAATAAAAATAAGAAAAGTTATTTTTGTTAAATGTTTTTACAGTACATTTTAATATACTGGTAATTGCAATTTTACTAATTCGTAATAGCATGCAATTTTACAATTAAGAAAATTAAATATTTATATTAATTTATAAAGAAATTAACAAGATAACATATATTAATTATAAAAAATTGAACAATTTTTAATAGTTTTCTATTTCGATTGTTTTATCATTGCATATTCAAAAATATTTATTTATTAATTATATTTTTGTTTAATTAAAACTTTTTAATACTCTATAATAGTCAAAAGGATAACTAAATTACATTAAAAAAAACATTTAGAAACAATATAAAAATAAGTTATATTTTATGTCATTTTATACAGTATATCCTTATCCGTTATGTCACATAAGTATAAATTTCATTAAATATAAACATTAGTTTCTTAATATTACATTTTTTAAGAAGGATATATCAACTATTTTATATCATATACTAACTAAACATTTTATATATCATATAATACTATTAAATTTAAAAAGTGATTTATTTCGATAATTTATAAGAAAATGAAATGTTTGTTATAATCGATTTGTGTTACGCGACACAAGTGACTATAAATTGTAAATTTAATATAACATACAATTCTTTTATAAACCAATTTTTATATAAATAAATTATAATAACTTATACATGTAAAGTATAAACACTTTATGTTTGAAAATAACTTTAAAATATCTATATTTCACTAAAATATAGCAATAATTTAATTATCAAATAGACTTAAATTTAGCATTTTTGCCATTTATAGAAAGTATTCACTTTCTATATGTTTATTACTTTTCAAATAACTGCCGACTATTTTATGGGTCAAGTATTGCCTAAAATCTCTATATAAGGGTCAGCACTGACCTTACATTTTATGCTTAGATATACCTGTGCTTCACGACTGCAACATATAAACTAAATTGTAATACAATTTCATATTAAAATAAAATGTTTTAATAAAAATAAAATTAGTTTTTTTAATCTATTGGTGCGTCAAATGAGTAAATGCCGTAAAATTCAACTAATGTTTTACAAGTCGGCAGGATTGTTAACCTGTCCGGGAAGCCCCCAACCCACTACATGGCCACCAATTCAAAAGCATGTAAGGAAATCAGCATCCGGTATGGTCCCGTCAACAACACGGTCGGGAAACTCCGGGACCAATAGTCCGACCATATCGTTAACTAGGCTACGGCCTCAAGTGGACACACCACCTCGACGGGACTGGACTCGGAAGCACCGATCACCGCGGGAAACAAATATCCGACGGGACTGGAATTGGAAGAACCGAACCGCCGCGGGAAACAAATACCCGACGGGACTGGAATCGGAAGAACCAAACCGCCGCGGAAAACTGACACCCGACTGGACTCGGAAGCACCGAACCGCCGCCGGAAACAAATCGCAAGATTTAAATAATAAGTTTAATTAAAAAAAATGAGTCAATAATTATGAATTTAATTTTTAAAATACTATGTTTTAAATCATAAAATAATTTTAGATAAAAAAATGTAATCACTAAAATACACTGCATATAATTGTAACAAAACTCTCTAACCCCCCCCCCCCCCCGGGTAAACAACTTAAAACAGAGGGATGTAAAGTATAAACACTTTATGTTTGAAAATAACTTTAAAATATCTATATTTCACTAAAATATAGCAATAATTTAATTATCAAATAGACTTAAATTTAGCATTTTTGCCATTTATAGAAAGTATTCACTTTCTATATGTTTATTACTTTTCAAATAACTGCCGACTATTTTATGGGTCAAGTATTGCCTAAAATCTCTATATAAGGGTCAGCACTGACCTTACATTTTATGCTTAGATATACCTGTGCTTCACGACTGCAACATATAAACTAAATTGTAATACAATTTCATATTAAAATAAAATGTTTTAATAAAAATAAAACATTTTATTTTAATATGAAATTGTATTACAATTTAGTTTATATGTTGCAGTCGTGAAGCACAGGTATATCTAAGCATAAAATGTAAGGTCAGTGCTGACCCTTATATAGAGATTTTAGGCAATACTTGACCCATAAAATAGTCGGCAGTTATTTGAAAAGTAATAAACATATAGAAAGTGAATACTTTCTATAAATGGCAAAAATGCTAAATTTAAGTCTATTTGATAATTAAATTATTGCTATATTTTAGTGAAATATAGATATTTTAAAGTTATTTTCAAACATAAAGTGTTTATACTTTACATCCCTCTGTTTTAAGTTGTTTACCCGGGGGGGGGGGGGTTAGAGAGTTTTGTTACAATTATATGCAGTGTATTTTAGTGATTACATTTTTTTATCTAAAATTATTTTATGATTTAAAACATAGTATTTTAAAAATTAAATTCATAATTATTGACTCATTTTTTTTAATTAAACTTATTATTTAAATCTTGCGATTTGTTTCCGGCGGCGGTTCGGTGCTTCCGAGTCCAGTCGGGTGTCAGTTTTCCGCGGCGGTTTGGTTCTTCCGATTCCAGTCCCGTCGGGTATTTGTTTCCCGCGGCGGTTCGGTTCTTCCAATTCCAGTCCCGTCGGATATTTGTTTCCCGCGGTGATCGGTGCTTCCGAGTCCAGTCCCGTCGAGGTGGTGTGTCCACTTGAGGCCGTAGCCTAGTTAACGATATGGTCGGACTATTGGTCCCGGAGTTTCCCGACCGTGTTGTTGACGGGACCATACCGGATGCTGATTTCCTTACATGCTTTTGAATTGGTGGCCATGTAGTGGGTTGGGGGCTTCCCGGACAGGTTAACAATCCTGCCGACTATATGTCAGATAGTGGGGTTGGTATCCGACAATAGTTATAGATATTATTATTAAATAATTGCAGTCGATTTAATTGAGTTAAAAATAATAACTTTATTTGTTGAATATTTAAAATGAAAAATACATTGAATGATAAAATAGTTTGAGTATAACTTTCAATACTCATGAGAG